GTGTAGACTCGCCTTCCTTCTGGAACGTTCTGCCTGACTGACCGGTACGGGCTGCTAGGGCACACGTAGCCCTCCGCCAATGATCTTCGATTGCGGCAGTGGGGGATTCCTGCGGGCTAACCGGGGTCACAGAGAGGACAGGGTGACTGGCACCTCATACCCATTGTTCAGTAAAACCCATTTTCTTAACTTCTCCCCTAAACCAAACCTTCCATGACACTCTAATGTGAATCCCATACTTGTCATACTCCTCCTATAAAAGTGAGTATCTATTAAACTCAGCTTCTTTGTATTACAGCTGATTTGATAAGAAAAGGCTACTTTTCCTCCACTAGTAGATGAGATGCAAAGCCCCTACAAAATCCACTATGACAGCAATTTCCCTTTCATCTGTGGAGTCAGGAAAACCACACACAAGGATTCTGATTCTGGCCTTTTCTGTAACAGAAAATTGATGCTTGAGAATGGTCCGAGTCCATGAGGTATAGGTGTGGGGATAACAGTTGTGGTTTAAAAGAAGGCCCATGCAAGGAAACCCATTCATGATTGGAAGAAAAAAATATATATCTGGAGTACTTGCTGATCTTTCTGAAGTCCAAGTAAACTTAGTGCAGGAATGGGGACATAATCCCCAGTGCAGAAAGTCCATATTGATTGCTTACAACTTGGTCTACGTAAGACACAAATCTTTATCTGTACCTATCATCTTAATGAGAGCTACAGTGAGGATTCACAAGCTTCAGGAGTTTGGGTTCTAGGAGGTTAATGTCTATTTGTATTTATTGGGGAACCAGAAATCCTGCATTTTAAGGCACGCGTGTTCTTCATTCTCCTAACAGTACACAATACTAATGCCTAGAGCAGAAAGGAGTGAAGGTGACTCCCTGATGGTTACTTGCAGATTACTTCCAGTTTTAGAAAGGAGGGTTGTGGCAAGAAGACAATGAGGAGCCCATCCCATAGAAGCTGGTACACACCAAACTGGTTCAGGTTGCTACATACCACAGACATCAAAAGGCATACAAGTCCTGGTGATTCAGCAAAGCAGAGTCCCTGGATAACGGTAGGATTGGCTTCTATGAAGTGCAACAAGGTCTAAAAGTTGCCATGAAGTAAATAAGCCATACCCTCTTAATTGTCTTAATGAATTTTAAGTCTGTAGGAACAATACTTGGCTTCTTTGCTACCCTCATGTCTTGTTTTGGGATTAATAATGTACAGATCGCATAGCGTCTAATATTTGAGAGGATTTGAGAGGACATCAGCTGATCTGCTAAGTTGGGAGAATAAGCCATCTTTTGATGTTTTATTACAACTGTAGACAAACATCCTCAGGACTGCAAAATGTACAGTCTTATATTGGTATTTACTTTCACATACTACAAATCTGTGGTGCTTCTGGTGTATCAGTATTATAGAAACACAAAACTGAATCCTTGAGGCTGAGACAAATGCATACGGTCTTTGTGAGAGAATGAAGGTGATTCAGCATAATTACAAACTCAGTTTGCATAAGTGCATGATTTTTCCAGTTTTGAAGATTGATTACCTTTCTCATTCTCAATGTCTCATCTGCTGGCAATGGATTGGCACTTCCAAGGAAAACTGGAGCACCATGAGGATGAGTACTATACAACTACAACTGATGTTCTGGAGCAAAGCAACACTAACTACAACTTATACCATTTGCAAGCTGGTTTTGGTTACCATTTCATTCTCCCCCACTATTGGAGAAATTCTTCTTTTGCATCTAATGCAGACTATCAAAAGAATAATTAACTTCTCAGATTTGCAGATTGTACCTTGATAGCCCATGCCTGAAAATCAGGAACCTAAGCTGCAAAATCACAGAGCATGCTTTCAAAACAAACAAGTGCTATTGCATTGACCGTTTTGGGGGTGGTATTTTGCTGAGGGGAGCTAATGAGACACTCTCCTATTCAGCAGAGATAACAGCACCATCACTTAGATGAACTCTTTCCATCTGAGTAGGATTTGATACTTGACTGTCAGATCAGTCTCAACAGACCCACAGTCTGACTTGCTTATGAACAGCAACACTTAAAATATCCATGTGAAAAAATATCCATGAGTTCACAATTTAAATTCCTGTTTGTTCTCTAACAGATATTTGCAGATCTTTTGCTATTTTCTTTGGAAAATGACTGAGCTTCCTGTGGGACATCAAGAACATGACTACTTCACGTAAAAAGAAATAAAAAAGTCCTAAGGCTTCTAGGCCCACTGTAGTTTCAGATGCATTGACACAGGCTGAAACTAGGCTGGGAGAAGTTTACAAGGCATAGGCTGGCAAAACCTCCAGGAAGAAACATCTGGGCTACACCACAGCAACAGTGGCATCATAAAGTCTGGTCTTTGTTGACAGACTGCTAGGAATTATATTTCATACAATGGTCAGGTATTCCAGGGCCAATGGAGGATGATAGTCAAAACTCCCTGTGGGAAACTGAGGAAGGTGAGGATTATCAGTGCAAGCACTCCGAATTCTGGCTATCAAGTGCTACCAAGGAAACTCAGAAGGTTCACTGAGGTTTCTGCTAGGATGTCAAGGGAGGACCCAGTGAAGCGTTTCACACAGTAGGTCCTAGCACCAGAGAGGGCAAACATCAGAAGAACTCAAGGTTCCTAAAGGACTGCAAGGTAAGCTGACAGAGGCCTAACTTTCAGTGTCACAGAAATATTTGTAACAATGATAATTCTGCCTAGAGGCTCTCTCTTTTGATATTTACAGGTCAGGGCCAAAGAGTCTCCTGCAGAGAGGGAGGGTGAGGAATCCAGGCTCCAGAACAGATTATCCACCTCTCTGTATCACGGTCTTGATTCCTTGAGGAAAAAGCTGTATACCATCATTGGCAGTGTACCACTAGTTTACCTCTTAAATTATTTGTAAAATCTTCGCAAGAGGAAAAACAGGAGCTTCCAAGAAAGATATTCAGAAAGACAATCCTGACTCCCTTTGTCTTTAAACTGCTTTACCCTGTTTTTCTGTGTACTCTCTCCCAACTTATTTTTTATTTTTAGATAAAAGACAGTATTTGTTTAATATAGATCTGACTCTGTAAGTAACTATCATAAAGAACTGAAAAGCCCATGTTTTAATGCACTTTTATAATACGAATTTCTATATAAACAAACCTTTTTATACACTGCTCCTGTAAAGAGCTTTTTCAGTTATGCTTCTGCCCCCAAAAATAACTACCACTTTAATATTTTAAGAACTGCTTGAGTAATTTACAACAGCAAAAAATGTTTTAAGTGTCCACTTTCACTGTTGCAGAATGCAAGCATCACATAAAACAGTCTTAAAATCATCACTACAGAGATCAATTTTAAACAAAATATCCAATTTAATTTCAGCCCACTCCACTGAATAGCTCTCCCCAAGGCACTACTGAGGCTTTAAACTTTTCATCAGAGGTAAATCCTGCCTATAAATGTTACCAATGACATAACAGGCTGGTCCAAATGATTGCTACTGCTCCAGAAAAGTCAAAATGCCAACAGACTTGAAAATAACCACATGTAGAACCAAATCAGTGTAAAACCAAATAGCCACTATATGGTAATAGAATAGCACAAATTAGCCAAAAAAAGCAGAATTACATCACTAACATAATAAATCTGAGTTACAGCTAAAGTAAATATAATGTTTCTAACTGAACATTGTACATTAGGGAAAAACAGAGAGGAAAAAATCAGAACTAAGATGCCCACTTCAACCTACTACAGTGAAAAGAAGGAAGCTGGGACAGTATTCTGAAAATTTAGATAAATGCACAGCTCAAATACTTGCCGCTTTCCCTGAAGGGTATTGCTTTGGCAGAAGGTAAAAACATTTCCAGAAATTTAAAATCTAAAAGGCATTCTCAAAAATCAACCTTTGGTGAAAAGATAAAAAAAACCCCAGCAATTTAGTCTTAGAGAAAGATGATTGTTTATTCAGTTGCAGGAATCTTCCAAAAGTCAATAGAGTTGAACACCTATGCAACTGGACAAAGACTTATTTTGCTTTGGTCAGACTGAGCAGTCAGTTCTAGCATTTAAAAAAAGTTTGTTTGTCAGTTAAAAACATGAAGAACCTTTAGAGATCATCTTTCCTATAATCCAAATGCCAAGTTATTATTTTATCTCTAGCAATATATAAGTGCAAGAAGATGCATGAAAATGTTTGTTATTCTTCTGCATGAAAATTATATCATACCTCAGATCAACTTCACCAGCACACTGCATAGAATTAAAAAAGTTACTGAACTTCTCATTGATTTGCTCAACCAGCTTTTTCAAGGGGTTTAGCCATCTTTCTTTGACCTAGAAGTAGAAATATTCATGTAAAACCATCTTTAACTGAATTTTTCTTTACTAATAGCAATTAAGTACAAAAATATTATAATTACAGAAGTTAACACCTCAGTTTACACTCAAGAAAACTTGAAACGTTACCCAAAAATGAATGGTGTATATATATTTATAGTTTTCTACATACATTCTATTCTAATAAGGACACACTGAAACAGAAGTGCTAATTTCAACTATTACCTGTGAAATATTTTGTTTATAGCTATCCAACACATTTTTCTTTTCCTCTAGTTTTTCCATCAGTTGTTGTATTTCTTGTGTCTGCTTATTATATTATTCAACAACCTGCCAGAAGGAAAAAAAACAAGCAGTCAACAAAACGTTTATCATTTCTAGCCTTGACTGTAAAAATATCACACTGCACTGATTCTGTTCAAATACAATTACATAGCCTATTGCACTGTATATTGAACAAAGATAAGTTTCTAGTTTTAAACCAAAAAAAGGACCTGTAAAGCACTGCTTATTTCAGGTTACTGCATTTTTTTTAAATGCACAGAACATACTGTTCCTTTGGAAGAACCTACTTAAAATTCTAGTAGATGCAGAATCTGTCATTTACAGCACATTGTTCCTGCTGTCTAGCTTATTATACCAAGAGATCTAGTACAGAGTGGGAAGCAAGTACAATATGGGTGGAGGGGGAAGAAGGGAGCAGGGAGAGAAAGCAGTGAACATACCGAAGCATTCAGGCCTGTGAAACAGGAGGCCCTGGATTTCTCCTCATTCAGAAAAGCATCAGTTTCCTCCAACGTGTTCGGAAG